ACTAATTATTATTTCTCTATACATAGCTCATAATTATTTTAATTGCAGGATGTGGCGACCTAGTGAAGTAGTCAGGTTGTCAACCCCCCAAGTAGTAGGTTGAGTGTTCAAATCCCATTGATGGCGAAAATTTGGATAATCACCTATGTAATATTCGTATTATGGCAACTGTTACTAATGATTGGGTTAGGATATCTGTAATGGCAGTTACACCAGCATGACTGACAGGTCATAGGGCATCTGTGTAAGTATGGTGTTACACAAAGGAATGCAAACCAACAAATCGGGTAGTGCAAACACTAGATAAGTTCTTGTGGCCATGTAAATCTATTAAAATTGGATAACAAGAAGTCCATTTGGGAAGACCTGAGTAGAGAGGTAGCCAGATCTTCAATGGCTCTACTATAAAGGCTAGTTTTATGAAATGGATACCAAAATTGAAGTAGCTGAACAGGCAAAAACCTCTAGGTGGGAAGTACTACCAATCAAATACCATCTTTACAACATTGTTCTTAACCAATATCATGTAACAAAATCTTTACAAGTTATATAGGTCTTATAAAAAATAAAGCCAAACTTAGTCACACAATTTTTACTAGCACATTACTTTACTCTCAGCTATACAATATTTATAACATATAAGATATTCAACTACAATATCATATTACAAACTTTACTAAGAGATTTAATTCTCTTGATTTATTAAATATAAGTACTTGTATTAGGCTTTAACAATTTCAAAACAACTTGTGGTTATCTACTAGTATTCTGATATATAACAATCTTATTATTGATAGGTCTAACAAACATACTATTAACTTTAAAATTATTTAACTTTTCAAACATCTTGATATTATATTCACATCTAATTATTATACAATATCCTATATACTGTTTAAGAAGGATCTATTTTACTTGAACTACTACTTTTATCACATCCAAAATATCTAGCATTTAAATAACAATTTTGATACTATTGCATTTTTTACTTAAATCAACTAACTACATTCAATAACTCATGTTTTTTAAATTGAAAACACATATCTACATATATAAATAAAATTTCTAAAGACAAATAACCACTCTAGTTTAACTATCTAGAAGATCAAACTACAAGCTACTTATACAATCATACTCTTTATTAACATCTACATTTATTTAATACAAACTATTATAATTATTCAACTGAATACTTTTTTTTACAAAAAATATTATAGCTTATTATAGTACTTGACAATCAAATCATTACTAATAAAGCCAGAAGACAACTCTCTTCTTCAGAAACTATTCTTATTACTCACTAGCAATGTCATATAGAACAGCAATTTATTTGTCTATATCTATTTCTACCTATTTAATTACAAGCATACCCAGGCTGTTCTCTTAATTCTTATACAATTGCTAATAAATGTATAATTAATATTCCTATTAACCTTATTTCTAGATTTTTTGGTTAAGTTAATATATATAACAAAATTCTCAACTTCAATACCAATCACCTTAATCTCATATATTTTATTGTAATTTGACATTCTATTCAAATTTCTAACTTACCTAATATCAATATTACAATATACTTAATTTCAACTATATTTGAACCTAGCACTTTAACAAACAATCTTCAACAAATTACTAACTACAATGCATAATTATTAGAACTTCATTTTTATACTGATAGCTCAGTTATTAACCTGAGTATCTCATAATGCTCTATAGATATCAGATAGGTCCAAATTCTAAATAATAATATATTGTATACATTTTAAGTCCAAACAAAATACTGGTTTTACTCATTTAAGTTTAAGTTTACTTTTATTTTATCAGCTCTTATTACTGTTCCAAGAAACTGTACTATACACATATATACTAACTTACAATCTGTAATCTTCAAATATCACAGTTTTTCAAACTTAACTTATATCCTATTTTATACATATACATCATATTTCTTATTATAAAGCACACTTATTAACTTTGTCAAATCATACAATATCTATATTATTTTTTACAAAGTTACTGTTCATTAGAATGATCAGTACAATAATCTTGCAGACCAACTTGCATACAGTTATTACAATTTGCTATATCTTACCTTTATGCCTTACAATATCTACAACTCTGTATATACATTAAATTTCGAAAATTTTCTTTAGAATTATTTACTCATCACAGTATTTGTACAATATGTCATGTACATATTTATATATTATAGATTACACAAAACTATTTTCAAAAATGACACAAAATTTTTAACCAAGTTAATTGGCAAACTACCTGGTTATATATCAACAACAATCAAAAAATCTCAAACTTTTTATGTAGCTTTCAGTCCTCTACTCTTAATTCCTTCAAAATTAAAATTCTATTAAACAATCTTTTTATTTCACATATTTTACATAAATAATATTACTCATACTCACCTATCTGTCATTATTGTTACCAAATCAGTTCTTACCTTTACTAGATAACTTGACTATCCAATTAACTATTATACAGTCTTATTAACATTTTATTATAATATACTTTAAATACTAAAATACTTGATACTATATTAAATACTATAACCAATCTGCATAATCAAATTAAGCTGTTAAATAGTATAACTATTTACATTATATCAGACTTACCTTCATCTTTTCAATTCTAACAGATCTAATACTAAATGAACTTATTAATATTATTACAATTTTGTTATTCAAAAGGATAATTACAACACTCATAATCAAGTTCTTACTTTATTTTATTCAACAAATTTATTACAAAATCTAGATCTCATATTGTATTTCAAGATCTTTAGCCCAACCTCCTGAATATAATACACCTTCAAATGCTGTCTCACTTCTATCACACTCTCTTCCACTTAATTTTATTAGTTCAAAAATAAACTCTTAGTATATTCAATAAATTAAATATTAAACTAATCTTCTATATATAATTACTAATATTCAAATCTAGGTAAGTCTTGGCTACTCTGATTGGTTTAGATCACAGATAAATTAGCCTGAGCTTCTAATCTTTTTATAATATTTTAAAAACAGAATTGTACTTTATATAAAATCTCAATTAAATATTCAATAAAGATGAAAACATGACCTCATTATTAATATTAAAAAAAAAAGTAAGTTTATATAGATATAAGAGAAAAAAAACAGATTTTATTTAATTAAAGATAAGTTTATACAGATACTTTTAAAAAAAGCAGGTTTTATATAATCTAAGAAATAAATTCAGGTTTTATATAATTATCTCAAATTTTACATACTATAATTAATAAATACAGATTTTAATAGTTGGCAACTCAGATTTTACCTTGTTATAAAATTTTTATTTGAATTCAATATATTTGTTATGCTTTAGATTAATCCTTTACAAGAGCAGAATCACTACCAAAAAAACTTAAATAAAATTTTATTTTTTTAAGTTGAAGTTAGGATTTTGCTATTAGATTAGTGCTTAAGAATTTTCTTACAAAATTTTACAAAAAAAACTTTTAATTAATATGCAAAAAGCAGTTTCATTAACTAAATTCATGTTATGAGTGCTTTTTAACAAAACAAATGTTTGGTTTAAATTTTTCTGATTATGTTACATTACACCTTATCTTGAGATTTGATTAGTCATGAAACTTTTTAGGGACCCTGTTTCGATTCTTGCCTCAAGTGATCAACCTAAATTAAAGGTTATAATTTAGGCCAATTAATATTTATCTGTTAATGCCGAGCAAATAGTCAATACCTTGAGACAGGCAAAAATTGATTTGAGGCACAACATATCTATAGAATGCAAATAAAAAATTTTCATTAAATTTGATCAGGTAATTGTCAAGATATATTCATTAAAAGTTTTAGAAAATTTTGGGTAACTTCTATTTTAATAGGTGTTTTGGTTTTTTTTTTAAAACTTTGAGTAAATATATCTTGACAATAGTTTGATCAAATTCAACAAAATTTTTTTATTTGAATTTTATGGATCTATAAGATTCAAACAAATTTTTTTTTTATGAATTTGGTCAGGCCATTATTGAAATATCTTCAAATTTTTAAAAGTTTGATGCTTCTTCTATTTTGATAGCTGGTTTGATTTTTTAAAAAAAAACTTTAAACAAAAATATCTCTACAATTATCTAATTAAATTTGATGAAAATTTTTTTATTTGAATTCTATAGATTTATCAAATTCAAATAATCGAATTTGGTTAGATGGTTGTTGAGATACTTTAGTTCGAAGTTTAAAAAAATTTTAAGAAACTTGTTTATTTTTATGAAAAATTGCATTGAAATAACTTGGTACAGAATCCATACGTACCTATACTGTACATATCAGGTATGTAACCACACAGATTTCATGTGAAAGTCTTTTGAGTTTGATAAATATCGCTACATAGTGATGTGATCTGGTTTGGTTATTTGACCTCAAGATATCTGTTATCCATTATTTAGTTAGCATATTACAATGATTGTTCATTATTCATATTAGATACGTATATTTTTTTTCTTTTCAACATATATTCTGTTTCTTAATTTACGTCGATATTGACTTAAATTATTTTGTGAAAATAATGCACATTACGGTAAAATCTCTAACCTAACTCAGGCCAAAATGACACTTGACACGAGTGTTAATCTGATGTATAAGATGTATACTGAAATGAAAGTTCTAATCGATTATTTGACAATTATTTGAATTTTAATTATAATAACTGATAATTTACTATAATATCGTTATATGCAGTAAATAAATAATCAACGATTTGTTGTTTTGTTCAAAGTTTCTTAAACGATTGATCATTTCCAACAACTGGTATCATCAAACTAGGTTAAAGAAGAGTTTAACCTAAAATGATTTAGTAATTCAAAAAATAGATTTCATTCACATGCATAAATATATATGTATATATAAAAAGATAATTGTTGAGCGAGCTACATACATTTTTGTTATTACTATACATAAAATAAATAATCTGACTAAACAATAACATCTTAATCGTAAAATAAATATTATTTAAAGTGCAACCTTCATACCCACACCAACAGTATTCTCAAATGGAATATTCAAATTATCATACTGTTTTCTTGAATTAATTACCAAAACAGTATATAAGCTAACCAAAGCCTTTCTCCACCATGGAGAACCAGGCTTAGGATAAAATGATTGTTCACCTAAAACGTATGTAATTGTTTTACTATCAAAATCAATGTCTTTTGTTAAAGTTTTGTTAGCAGGGTCAATATTTTGAATTGATTCAACTAATTGTAAAATAAATTCTCTTCCTTGTGAAACTTCTTCAGAATAACCAAATCTAGCAGTTGCATGATAACAACCTTCATAATTTCCAACTTTTTTCACTACTAAACGATCATAGTCACCGACCACTGGAACGGCTATAGGTCGAATTGTGATAAAAACGAGATTTTGAGGTACGATTGGAAAGTGTTTTATAAAATGAGAGAAAGTTAATGGAATCTTAGATCCGACACCACTATAGAATAATCCAATACCCGGAGAACGTGTTAAGTGATTATCAGAACCTGATAAACGAAGTTGTATTACGGATTCAGTTTGTATAGTAGGTTCTTGAAAAGTTGGTGTATCATCGTTTATAATGTTATTATCATCGTTTACAACTAGATCAGTGGAAACAGCTTTTTCAAGTTTTTCAGATTGGTCAAAAATTTTACCAAGGTTAGGCCTATGCACAAGTTCATAACGTATCTTACGAATTGTACCCCATCTCCATATGAGCATTATAATGGTAAGCGATAATGCAATAGTTAAAGTAAGCCAACCACCATTCTGAACCTTTTGTAAGGTTGCAACCAAAAATGAAGCATCGACAACACCAAAAACAAAAAAGAATATTATTGAAACAAAAACAGGAAGATGCCAAACAAGGTGAATTACAATTGCTAGTAATGTTGTTGTGATAATCATAACAGATGAAACAGCCACACCATAAGCGACTGTCCTAAAAGAAAAAACAGATAGATAAACAAATCAATAAAATAAATAAATAAAATAAAATAAAAAAGATAATAATAAGAAAATTGAATCAAGTACAGGTTTGCAGAATGTTGGAAAAAGATACAAATGAGCACAATCAAGACCATCAAGGTGTAATTAACCTAATAAGTAAAATGGCAAAAAAGAATTTAGTAGGTACGTACATAAAAGATATAATGTAAGTTTGTTACATTTTTACCCTGGGAATATAAATTTGGCCTCTGACTTTGTTTGAGGTATGAATGACCTTTTTAATAAAGTGAAAATTTGTTTTTTTTAAAAAAAATAACCGCAAATAATAAATAGTAGTGATTACATATTTTATATTGAAAACCTTACCTTAACATCAGGAAAACAATCTAATTGCATCGATTGGTAAATTAAAGAAAAGGTAGCGGAAATCATAGCCTGAGAAGCTATAATTGTAGCTAAAATAGCTAAGATAAATATAATCCAATAAACTCCAGGATTAGAAGGAGTAGTTAACCAAAAAGTATTGGAAATTAAGGTAGGGTCTAAAATTAAACGAGCAGCTTGGCCTGTATATACTAAAACCAAAGGAATATAAACGAAACATGGAAAAGAGATCTGGATGGCTTGTCGATTAAAATGACCAAGATCTGCAAATAATGCTTCCACACTATTTCAGAAAAGTATAATAAAGGAAACTTTAGATATATTAAAAGTCATATAGCTTCTTAAGTTACAGTATTAAACGAAGATTTTACCCCGTAATGGCCAATAGAACGCCACCAAGATCAGTAAACTTTAAAAAATAAAATAATAATAATTAGATAAACTAATTGATAGTATTTGAAATAAAAATGATAATAAAGATATTTTACCCCAGAACCTTTATTTCGAATGAAATAATTAATGGCATAATAGGGATTATATGCTTTAAAGATTTCAGGGTGAAAAGTAATGTTCCAAATGCCAACAGAAGCGATAGAGATAAACCAAAGAGAGACAATTGGAGCAAATAAATTTCCGACTTTGGCCGTACCAAATCGTTGTACCAAAAACAATAGAACAAGAATAATGCTTTTATAATAAAAAGGTGAGATATTTATTTATTTATCAAATAACATAATATATGTAATGTAATATATTAAATACCAGCTAATAGGAACAATAGCGGGCGCTAAACCTGGCGCAGGGACAACCATACCCTCAACAGCGGAAATTACGGAAATAGCAGGAGTTAGCAGGCCATCACTCATAACTAAGGAAGAGCCAAGAAGGACCACACCAAGTAAAATAGACTGTACAGTCTTACTGCGTTTAATGAAGTTTGGTTCCTTAGAACTAATAATTGACATGGTATCGTAATTTGCAATCATCAAATCATCAGAATTCTCATTTCCTCGTACAGAAATTCCAGAATGACTAAAAATAAAATTTATAAAACATTGTATTAAAATTTATTATCAGTAACCTTAAAATATAATCTTAAATAAAAGAGAAGAGTATATATATATTTACCGACTCAATAACGAGTATAAAGCAAAAGTGCCACCCTCACCATGGTCATCAGCTCGGAGTACAATGAAAACATATTTTATCAATGGCACAATTGTCTAAAAGCATAAAATTTGTAATTAATTTTCAAGATAACATTAAAAAAAATTTTTTTTAAATATTTAATTCAAAAGGACTTACCAATGACCAAACAATCAAAGATAAAGCACCTAAAATATATGTAAAAAATGAAGTGAATTTAAAATAGAAATTAGGAGAATTGGATTTAAATAAAACGTACCATAAACATCTTGAGGGTCCGTAGGTGGATTCGTAAAGATCCCGGTGAACACTATAATTTTTTTTTGTAAGTTGAATTAAAGGTTCTGAACAGTTGTTAAAAGAAAACCGAGCTCATGTACATACCATATAAAGGAGAAGTACCAATATCACCAAATATAATGCCTATATTTTGAGAAAAAAAAAGGTTAATTTTTGAAAATAGACTATGAAAAATATATAGTTATTGAATGCGAAGCAGCCAATAATGGAAATTATTTTCATTATCTGGCTGAGTAACATTCAATAACGGTATCTTACAACGACCGAACCAACAGAATATTTTGATGATGATTGATGATGCATCCTCATCAAAATAACTCGAGTTATTCTGTTGGTACGATCAAGGTGCCGGATAAGAATTGTTACCTATCGATTTAAAAGCTAAGCTTAGAGTAAGTAAAGCAGAGCTTCCCTAAGTATAGAATTTTTAGAATTAATATATAGTAAACGAAAATCTAAGGTTTTATTCAATTTGTCATTATAGGGATGCTCATTTAGAAATAAATTCCGAGTACTATTCATGCACTTTGTTTTCGAAGTTATTGCTTCATTAAATATCTAACGACTAGAAATAAACAATGCATAATTTACATTTTTTCGCTTAAGACATTAGAAACATACTTTTTTGGGAGGTTGGTCTTTAGAATTAATACTACTTTTCGATTCAGGATCATTGATAATTCCAGACATTTTTTTTTTTTGTTATTTGAAGATAATTTTACGATTCATTATATAGTATATGACCTCATGTATATACGCCTATCTAAATAAGGTTATATTTAATTTTTCGTTTGTTTTCTTTTTTTTTCTTGGCAAATCAAATCTGTGTGTTACAAACAGATGAACTAAAAAAGTAGCGGATCTGATAAAGTTTAAGGAATGCATACCAACAGCCCTTCTATCACCGTATTTGTTCGTTTAGCCTATTGCTAGAAGATCAAGAGTATGTCGATATGTGCTACCAGGATATAGTTTCGCACAATAAAGTGATTAATATGATTAAAGGTTTAAACAATTAGAAAAAATCTATTCATTGCCCTTAAGGAGGATCCTGTAGGTAGTCTGTAGGTAGTTATTATTTAGGTTCATATTCATGTAGAACTGAAGTGAAGATTTCTCAAATAATTTATTTTGATTTTCACAATCATACCGTGTCTTAATATTGTTTGTCTTGACATACGAATATATCAAATCCAGATCTACTGATGTCGATTAGAAAAAGCAAAAAATGTTATTCGTGAATTACTAAAGATTTGGGAATATCTATAATTATTTATAATTATTTCTTCTAAAACAAAAATAATGCACTTAACTAATTTATAGTAATGATCCAATAACGGTGCAGTTTGTATTTACTTGAAACTCGATATTTATTAAGATAAATTGCATGGTGCGTAAGACAATCTTTATCATCTATTCGATATTCCCAATTAAACTTTGTTTAGAAATCGTGAAACTAATAATCATGTTTAATTCGAAAAATAGATACTCAAAATTCATCCTTGTAACAAATATGTTGACTGATAAGCTTTTTTAATTACTGAATTAAAGAAAATATTTGATGATAACGATAATAATTATAGTGCTTGGATAAAAATTTTAACACGTATTAACCTTGCAAAGCTTGATTTGTCGAACTCCTTTATATAAGCGGTTTAAATTAGTCCTCACTATTATGGTTAACATAGAAATAGGTACTTTCCTGTCACCTTATAAATGAAATTTCCATTCACGGAAATGATTATTAAGTTTTTAATTTTTGGTTGTATAATAAGAGATGAGTTACATACACTAGTCGAATTATAAAAAATCAGCTAAGAATCAAATGGTTATTAACTAATTACTGTCTGGTGACAAAAATTGTCACTAATCTAGTTAAAATCAGGTATGTACCTGATTTTTAGCCAATTTTTTATATTTCGACTAGTGTTATCAATGATGTTTTTAACAATTCATTTTAAGCATGCATGTACGAACCTACCTACCTTTTGCACAGTTTACTAAATAAGGATTAGTTATTGACACAAAACTATTCCTTTCTAAAATATGAATCTGTAAATCCAGAATCACAAATCATGCAACGGAAACTTTAGAATTTGGAAGCATTATTCTTAAGTTGATAATCCTTAGCGTAGGTTTGGAATTAACCTAATTCTAGATTCATCGATCCTAAAAAGACTTGATGGGAAAGTTTTATTATTATTATTTTTTTAATAATAAAAATATATAATTGTCATAAATAATGCTAGATACATTATCATTATTCTTTGCAGACATTTTCGTCAAAGTGAAACAAAATCAGGTGCATACTTTAGAAAACTATTCTATGGCGTTTGACCGAAAAAAAAACAAAAATCATTTTTAATTTTGAGGATATAAAAATAGGAGATAATATTATTGATTAAACAGTCATTGCGTCTAATTATTAGTTGAAAAAATTTTAGGTTCGTGACAAGAGAAAATTCGAGATAGAATCTAGAATGCGGACCCTGCATGATTACTATATTTAATGCAATGCATCAAATTGTTTCATTATTGCATTGGATAGCGCGTGCATTGCATAGCATAGTTATTATGGTATCATCCCAAGTCGTCATTGGCTGGTTGGGTATAAACATTAATACGTCATAACGATGAAGCACAAAAAAAAACCCCCCAAAAACTAGTCAGATTGTGATAACGGTGTTTTCCGGATAGCAATCACGTGATCGTCGATTCCTGCTAGAGTGTCTAAAATTTAAAAAAAATTGCCGTTAACCAATCAAATTTCAATATCAGGCATACCATAAGATAGATGTTTATACGGTAGTCCAAAATATAGACTATGAAATCATCTTTTACATATTATAAAGGTCCTTAGACACCTAAGGCCAGTGTTGTCATTATTACGAAGATCTACAGAATGGCGAAATGGCCTCCGTATGTCACCGCACTAGTGAGATAGCTCATGCTCCATTAAGTCCGTCATATGATGTCCCAGGTCCTTGGTTATACATTTTTCTTTGTGAAATAATATCTTCGAATCCTAACCAAATGGCAAGACCCTGTCCCTAATCTAAAGGCTTGAAGTTTTTACTAGAAAAGTTTTATTACAAGCACGAATGTAGTTGGCATATAATCGTTATCAATGCTATAAAAAGTTAGAACGGTATAGTCAATAACTTTGCTAAATTCGGAGCTGTTGATTTTTGAAAGTGTATCTAGTTTGACCACATTATTAATAGCGTTAAAGTATAATGTAGACCGACTTGATGACAAGATTCTGTGAAACTTAGTCCGTGTAACGCCAATTGACCAGTAGAAATTTCTTAAGACGTGAAAATGCTAAATTATGCGAGATTATGCGAATTTCTTTAAATTATGCAAAATCGCATATTTTATGTGAATTATGCGAATCTTATATCGAATCATAATCCTTGACACTCTACTCCACATCGATACCATTATCGATATCGATATTGTAGTTGTATTGAGTACAGTCATACTGTATTGTATTTAAATAAACCTGCATGTTTAAAGATGGCGTAAATTTGTAAAGACTTATTTTATATCATCATATCGACATTGCATACATATTGTCTTTTATTGTTTGCTTTAAATTAAACATAATTAAGACTAAGATTAGTGCCATACTTTCTTGTAAATGGTTTCAAAAAGTTAATATGTAGTTTCTTGAAATATGATCTCTTCAAAGTGTGATTATTCTGAATTTTCTGAACTCTGAATTCTCTGGTGCTCAAAAAAAAAAAAACCAATTGCACCCCTAAATATTGACCACGTTCAATCGTAACGCAAAATATGAATTTTATTTTTTAAATAAGATTTAAAGACGCAAATTTAGTTATTGATAATTAAGGGACATGCATCATAAACTAGGTTTCTGCAAGTGCCAGCACGCGCACAATTAAAACATAGTTCCATGAACGGGCATGAGTACTGTGCTTTGGTAATGCGCGTGCAGAATTCTACTATATATATAACTACGTAATCATATAATATCAAACATAAGATCCTCCTTTATGCATTACATCTTGCATAAAGGGGGTGTCGTCAATCAATGCGTGCAGTCGTGTGAATGCTAATTATCACATTTGTTAATTAGGGTGTCTCCTTCAATGGGATTTACTAATTTTCCCCTAGTCCTTATTGGATGCTTAGAATACTGTTCTTGATTGGACGAAATTGGCTACAAATTCGGATTTGACATCATGACCGAAAAAATACAAATACTACTAAAACTTTGCAAGGATTTTTGAAAAACTTACAAAATTGATAGCGATAGCAAACAGTTGCGTAATCTATGGGAGAGAAATTAGGTTTCCCCTTCAATGTATGATTAATTAAGTACTCATTACGGCAATTTTATGAAGTTTCTAGTGCGAAATGCAGACATTAAATTTTAGCCAATCAACACAACTCTGATAAAAAAAGATGGTCTCAAAAATCTTTTTTTTTCTTTGCCCACTTTGTTATTAGGGTTAGAATGATTAAGTCATATGGTGGTAGTATCAAAAAATAGGCCTTTTTTCACTTGACCGGCCAAATATTTTCCACTAATTAAAAATTGAGCTCTGACCTATTAATTTAGGTACTTGAGAGCTCCCTTAGAAGCTTTATTCTTTATGACGATAAACTGACCTTTTTAAAAAAAATTACAGGATTTTCTCATTAAATTGACATTTGGATATATTGATCACTTTATTTTTGGTGAGTATCGCATCGCATATAACCTATTATGTACTACGTACGTCGGGTTGTTACCTTTGATAAAATTGGTAAATTATTAATTACCTTGAAATTTCAAGTTGCCGACATTAAACAAAAAATAGTTCGGTAATATCTGAAATTTTCGGAACATATGGAGATAGAAGTTTATCACCTCATCATGCAAATATTATTAACGTTAGACTAGATATTTTTCGGTCATTCGTACTATATTGATCCAAAAATTTCGGGTGATATGCATGCCCCGAATATTACAAAATTCCAAGTGCAGTTTGGTTCCTTTCTATTGCAAAATAATATATTCTTAATGAGATTTATTATAAAGATTTTTCTTCGGAGGGTGCGACTAATAAATTTAGCCAGTTTTGGTAATACCCAATTGAATACGTATGTAAATTGTAGTTTTAGGCACTGTAGTTAAAAACTTGTATTTCACAAAAATTGCAACATAAATTTTTACTAATCAAAGCTAATCACTCCTCTTGCACCCGTGACAGTATCCATTTGCGGCCATTTCTTTATTGTAAGTATATGGTAGGCTTTTAGCAAGATCAAGCATCTATATATAAAGCTATCAACTTACCAGTTTCAAAATATAATTTAATATTTTATAAAAGTCATCTATATTGCAAAAAATCCTAATATTTATATTAGTGTTCCTATCAAACCGGACCAGACCAAACTTGAGTTTGGTTTAATTTTCAAACCGGACTCAAACTTTGATGTTTTCAAGCTTTTAATCAAGTTTGAGTTTGGTTCGGGTTCGAATTCGGTCTAAAGTTTGTAAACTAGGTTAAGTTTAAATATATGAGCTATGTTTTACAAAAAAGAAAGGAAATTGACAAATTTTTTAAAATTAATTTTTTTATACAAATTAATTTAAATCAGATTATGATCGTTTTTTATTTAAGACATAAAAGTAGTTATATTAATAAAATTTTACAGTATAGCTCTTTAAGGTTTGT